TCCTCATCGTCATGTCCCTGCTCCTCTTGCTCCTCGTTTTCCTGCTCCTCATCCTCATCCTCATCCTCATCCTCCTCTTTTGCAAAGTTTTCGTTGTGTCTGGCATGTCTCTATCCATTTGTTTGCTGTTCATCCTCTCAGTAAATTGGCAGGATAAAATTCCCTCAGCTATCGTCGAGTTTCTTCGCAGGTTGGTGGCACACAGACAGGTAATGACGCAGAAACTCCTTCTCGTCATCGCCATTCTCATCATTCTTCTCATCTTCCCCCTCCTCCTCCTCCCATCCTCCTCCCATCCTCCTCCTCCTCCCTCCCATCATCGTCATCATCATCGTCGTCGTCGTCGTCGTCGTCGTCGTCGTCGTCGTCGTCGTCGTCGTCGTCGTCGTCATCGTCATCATCATCATCAACAACAACAACAACAACAACAACAACAACAACAACATTATCCCAACTTCCCGCTCGGTTGCTCACATTTTCTCTCAGAAATATCCAGACAAACCATCCATCCAGGGGAGCTCTCGCGATTTGACTGCATCCTCTGAAAAGTATCTCATGCCGGTCGAAGAGAAGGTTTTCTTGCCATCCATTCCTCTTCCTGCTCCCTGTCTTCCCTCTTCTCCTTGATCCCCTTCTCCACTCCAAACCTTCATCATCAACTCAACATTGTCAGACCTGCCCTTCTCAAGTCTCTCCTCCCCCTCTTGCACCTCCACCTCCCCCCCCCTTTTTTTGCACCTCCTCCTCCTCCTCCTCCTCCTCCTCCTCCTCCTCCCTTCCTCCTTTTCCTCCTCCTCCTCCTTCTCCTCCTGCACCTTCTCCTCAGCCTGGAGTTATTTTTGATGACACTTTTCAGGTGCTCGAGCTTGACTGGGAAACCATGAGAGCAGGAGAAATTGATGGAAGGAAGGTGAAGAACGAGATGAATTGATAAAGGGGACAGCAGAAGGAGCAAGAGAGGACGTTGAATGAGGAAGAGGAAGAAAGGGAGGAGGAGAAGACGATTATGAGGAGGAGGAGCAGACAGAAACGTAAGGGAAGGGAGGACTTGACGTTGGTTGCAGGCAAAGTTTCTCATGGCTCAATTTCTTTTCACTCGTATTCTCATCCTCCAGCTCACTCTGACTCCTTGGAAGGTATAGAGAGTTAAAAGCACGGAAAAACGGGGTTGCAGCAGGAGAAAAGAAAGGAAAGGAAGAGGAGGGAGGAGGGGGGGCGGAAGGTGGAGGTGCAGCAGCAGCAGCAGCAGCAGGGATCGTGATGGTGCAAAGGGTGTCAGACGATGTTGATGGTTGTGACTTCAGTACAACATCGGGCCCAACACAGTTCCCAGCAGGGTTGACAGCAACAACCTCAAGTGAGTCTGTTTGATGCCCGTCAAGTTTGACTAGCAGCAGAATCGTCGCCTTCCTCCTCTACCACTCGCTCACCGATACTCTCGCCGAAGGTGAAGACAAGCGGAGAAGGAGGAGCCTGGGAGGCAGAGGGGGGAGTCGGTCAGGAGGGGAGGAAGTAAAGCAGAATCTGCGGTCAATAAGAAGTAGGCTTGATATGAAATGAGGAGGCTGAGGCAGCAGCATGGTAGCAGCAGCATGGTAGTCGTTGAATGTTGCATCTGACTGCGACGTCTGTCAGATCAAGGAGGGATGGATCTGGTGGACGAGAAAGTAGCAGAGGTGAAGGCAAAGAGAGGGAGACAAACATCTCACCCGTTTAAAGGCTGTCGACGACATTCCTGGAGACAAAACTTACTTCATGGAACAGACACATGAATTGCAGGTTCCTCCCTCCTCCCTCTCCCTCCTCCCTCTCCCTCTCCCTCTCCCTCTCCCTCCTCCTCATCTTTTTCGTCGCCCTTCTTGTCCTCGTTCACGTCTTTTCTTTCTACGTGTCCCATTCAGTTTCCTTGACTTCTGAGTCTTCATCGTCAAAGCATCTCAATCGTCCGCTCAGACATCATCATCACGCACACACCACATGATATCCTTGTTATGATCATTGTTTCTTTTACTCTTATCTTGGTGGCAGTTGTATCTACGGTCAAAGTTCAAGCAGGTCCGCCAAACTCTGCATCGTTGTGTTGCTGTCTTAAATCTCCCCCACCCCCTTGCCCTCTTCCAAAACCTCTCTTGACTCTCTCTCTTCTCTCCGGCATTCGGCTTCTTTTCTCAGTCTTTCTACTCGCTCTGCTACTCGGATCTGCTGTTGCGAGTTCCTTACCTTTCTCCAGCTCATTGAAATCATCTTTACCGAATGCTTTCCGCAAGGGAAACCTCCGATGAAGATCAGGTACCCTCCAACAACTCGCTTCGTCTCACGCCCTCCTCTTGTTACTCCTCCCTTTGAGGTTTCTGACCATCCACCAGGGCCCACTCCATCACTCCCAATGCTCCTCTTCCTTGAGGGCGACAATGATGACAGGGAGAGCCAGTGAGAGTGCGAAGGGGACGGGGAAGAGTACAGAGAGATCGGGATAGGAGGGAGGCGGAGAGAGAGTGCGAAAGGGACTGCGTTACAAGTTTATTTTCTTGTCATTCACAGTGGCTCGAGTGCTGTATCAGGCCAATGAAGGCGTCGGTGATTGACTTGCCAATCTCCCGGTTGTATCGGCTCCTGAAAGATCCGCTACCTTGTATCTGCTTCCTCTCTGGTGCTCCTCCCAACCGGAAAGAAGACTGATACAGGCAGGTTCTCCTCTCTGAGGCCGTCAGAAGCTCCCCCTCGTCCTCCTCGTCCTCCTCGTCGCTTCCTGCATCCAGATCCAGTTTCCCCTCCAACCAATCCTTCCCACACTCGTCAAGATTATCCTTCTCTGCGCTTGATCCGAGCTCGGTGTTGTAACTTTCACTCGCAAAGACGTTCTCTAGCCTCTCCCCCTCAGTTTCATCGTCGAACCTTGAGCAGAACATGGCAGCAAATGTTTCTGGCGACCTACTCTTCAGCCCCTCGCACGAGAGATCCCCTCCAACGTCGCGCCGATGGCTCATCGCCTCTGCCGCCACAGGTCCATCCTCTTCCTCCTTGTCCAGTCTTTTCTGCCTCGTTTCGACAGCCTTGGCATGTTGCAAGCCATGAAGTTCGTTGGGAATATGATCGAACCCCCAGTCCAAAGCTTCCGGCAAGTACCGACCGTCGACGTTCAGTTGCATTCCTTCCATTGCGCGCTGGTATACTCTGTTAACTTGGGCTTTCACTTTACGTTGCTATATCCCTCTGGCTACTCCAATAAAAAGTTCTCCCACCAATCTTATCACAGCAGACAGTAGACAGTAACCTGATATGCTAGAATCCGCGTGTCCAGTCTTGTTCTGTGCAATGCTATCCCCTCTTTGATTTCCCTGTCCTCTTCCTCTTCCTCTTCCTCTTCCTCTTCCTCTTCCTCTTCCTCTTCCTCTTCGACTTCGTCGTCCTCTCCTCTTCCTCTCGCTTGCTCTATGGAGAAAGGTTCTTTACTTCACCCCCACCCCGTTGGGGGTGAAGCTCTTGGAATAAGGGGTACTTTGCGTTTGGGGGTTCTGTCATCATACATAGGGCCGGGTAGTTCAAGGTCAAATAGGGGGTTCGGTATAGTAAAATCACGGCGGTTCGGTCAGCAATGTAACTCGGGTTGTGAAGGAACTGCTTTGAATTTAACTCCTTCAGCTAAAGGGTTATAGGAACACCCGTAGTAATGAAGAAGATTAGCTAAAAATGGATTTTTTTATATAGGAAAACTTTTATTAATACTTTCTCAATCCAATATATTACAGAAAATTTTCAGTATCTCTGTCAGCCAATAAAAATTAATTTGAAAACAATTATTTTCAGATCTCCTGGCGACGCTTAATACTATTCTGCCCCCCTTCGTCTTGTCAGCAGTCAGCTCTGCAAGTCACTTCCGAACTCCGAGGCTCGGCGGCAGCCAGGCGTCGGCGCGGCGGCTCGGCGGGCCGCGGCGGCCCGGCCGGGGCGGCCAGGCGGCAGTGACTCTGGGCCCGGTCCGGGCCCGGGCGGGCTAGCCTGAGCAGGACCGGAAGAGAAAAGACTCTGACAGCGAACAGAGTGACCCGGTATCATGGCTGAGCAGGACTCAGGGGCCCGCTCGGACTCGCGGTGGCCGACGATCCGATCGGATCTGAGAACTTCCGAGCCTGGACTTCGAACTGATCCGACCGGACCGGCGGACTCCCGGAGGAAGCCTGGTGCCACGGTGTGCAGCCAGGCTGTGCTGGGCCACTCATCACGGTGCTAGTCATGATGTCACAAGTGTACGGTACTCGGAGTCCACTGACTCGGACCCGGGCCGCCGCAGGCCCGTATCAAGTCAGCGGCTCAGTTACTAGTACTACTGATCAGTACTACGGTATGATCAGTTCAACAAGCTTAGCATCTCATCCGATGTGCCTCATGATCCCTGATGATCTTTAAGATCCCTCAGTCTTAGTGACTCAGCAGCCCGATGCTTCTACGAGTCTATCGAGGTTGCATGTCGAGCATTCACAGGGTAACAGTGAAGCTGCTAACTAGTAATTCAACTTTGGCGGCTTTTAGCTCCGGTCGGATGTATCAGGGTTCGGAGACAGAAGCTGCAGGACCCGTTTGGACAGTATGTCACAGTGACAGCATTTTATACTCGGATGTCTGATGAAAAACCGTGATCATTATCCGATGATCTCCTCCTCAGTCCTCCATCATCAACAAAACAAGAAACAACAGAAATTACATCATCAATTACATCTTCATCATCATTAACATTATCATCTCCAGAACATCATCTTCATCCGATAAGCTTCGCTCAACGGTGCAGCCACGACTCAGCCGTTCAGCCTCGTGTTGCTCTCCCAGGTATCCCTGCGATCGACCTGGCAGCACCTGCCGACACCCACAACAAGCCTCGCACACTCATCAGTGATGATAGCAGGCAAGCAGACATCAGGCTCTGTCTCGCAGCCATCGGTGCTGTCGCCCTTGCGAGTATCACTGTCAAGGCAGGTCACATCGACTGGTGTGTGCTTGTGTGATAACGATTGCTCGAGACAAGCTTCTCATCGTCTTCAAGGCTTCGTAAGCCATGTTCACATCACGCTCGCACGTACAAGAGAGACATGTAGGTAATAGAATAGAAAGACGTTTATTAGTCTCTCGTTCCCAGTGTGAGTGGGGAGGTTGGCATCAACCGTCTGCATCCGATGTTTATGTTTATCCGGAGCACTCAGCGTTGTGCGTGCCAGAGCACAGCTTGATTGGGTTGCTTCCACTGTAAACACTGTCGGTGACACCATAGTTGCCGAAGATGGTGTGATCGGTGCGGTAATCGTTACCTCCGCCAAAGTTGTCACCGTAGTTCCAAGAGGCTCCCCTGTTGCCATCATTCCATCTGTTGTTGCTGATGGTAGTAGTGGGCCACTTGGATTCGAAATAGGGCTCCCAGGTGTTACTGATAGTGTAAGTGCTATACAGCTCCTGAGCGTGCACGATGTCGGAGAACTGGAGGTCAAATGTCAGAGACAAACACATGCTTCCCATTCCAAGACAGTCATCCATCATGATCATGCGTCACATTCATCAGGCATCGATTCGTCTCCATCATCATCTCCATCATAATCTCCGTCGTTCTTTGTGTTCATCAAGACCTTGCATGATCGCATCAGGCGGGCGTTTGTCAGCATCATTGCGCGCATTCTATTCATCTTTTTTCATCTCACCATTTTCTCAGTGACGATATCTCATCTGCACTCGTATTTATACTGCTGTCCCCTATCCCACCCCTCTCCTCTTGCGCAATAATGGTCCAAGTCCCGACCCTGACCCCTACAGTTCCGAATCTATCATGGTACCTCACTACTTAGTACCCCCACCTCTACGTTTTCCCAGGTCAGGCAAGATAATAGACCCGGTTCACCGCTGGGGTACCGTTGTACCCGGTACTATCACTAGGGAACCCCCCCTCTCAGGCTTACCCCGTACCGGAGGGGGAGGGGGGAGGGGGCGGACTCCGGGACCTACCGAGAACACTTCTATGAACAAAAATCTATTTCGGGACTTAGTGACCACCGGTACTCTAGGAAAGTTGACTGAACTGGTCCCGTGACTCACCCCACGGTTCAGGTGTGACGGGCATGGGAGGTGGGGTACCTCGGCATCAAGAGGTCAGGCATAGGGCGAGACAGACTGATAACGCTCTTAATAAAATCGCCTGTGACAGCCACAGCCTGCCCCTCCAAGTGTTGATGGTGGTAGACGCAGGGTCAGCATGGCAGACTGGGTGGTGGGTAGCTGAGTCACCGTAAGTTTACTCCGAAGTACTGGGAGAAGGGGTGGGTGGTCACCAGTGAAGCGGGTTATTCGAATTTTATGTTTGGTCAACAACAACTGACATTTTTAATACTACTCAAAGTTAAGTTACTACTGTCACTCTTACAATCTTTTTTGCTTCAGACCAAGTTCGTACCCAAAAGCCTTTTTGTGGGTGACCGGGTCGGCCCCGGAGCCTGACGAGCGCAGTGCCAAAGTTAAGTTAAAATCAGTACCAGGACAATCGGCCCTGTCCCTACTAGTTTGATTGTCCTCGTACTGATTTTAATTTAACTTTGAGTAAAGTTCACTCCCACACACCGAGAAGAGAAAAAAAGACAGCGAGAACCAACTCATCCTTCCGACTGCTGTCCCCCAAACTTAACTGATACCTTCACTCAACTTCGAGCAGGACCATTCCCCGGCGCAATGCAAGCGATGTCGCTGTGGCCGCCGCTGAAGGAATGAGACGCATACCTGAACGCACCTGCGATTATGGCAGCGAGTGACAGGGAGGCCTTGAGCTGACGGAAGATCCTGGACCGGATGTGTTTGCAAGTCGGATCACCTGAGACGTCTTGCGAGGCCGAGAGACCATCCAGCGCTGCCGTTTCCTTGTTCGCCGAGCGATCCGCCAGCCACCACAGAAAGCGCAACGCATCGTCCTGCAAGAGGCCATCAGTGCTGGCGATAATGGGAAGAAAGGCCTTTGGCGGGACGTGCTGAGCATATGCATTACGATGCCCTCGGATCTCTCCCTGTGCTGCTGCAGTTTGCTCAGAGCCTGGTCCGGTATTCCATCATAGTCAGAAACATGTGACATGCTGAAGTCAAGGATCAACCCATGCCATCCGCCTCCAGTGGCCTGCAATTGCGGGAGCTCAAAATTCCCTACGTGATGATCTTCAGGGCCATGTTGGGAAACGTTCTGCCTGGTGCCGGGAACGCCTTGCACGTCGACGCGGCATCTCACTCCTGAATCTTTGATGAGGGTACTGAGGACGGCATTGCACTTCTCATGGGCATCAGTCCATAATGGGCTGCGGTGCCTGCAGGTTGCCATGTGAGTAGTCCCTCCAGGACGACGGAGAAGAAGGTGACATGTATCGCAGTGCGGCGGGAGTTCAATGGGCAGTCCATGAAGAAACTTGTCAGCGGCAGCCACCAAGCTGATGGGCTGCTGCTCAAAGATCCCAAGGTTGGTACTTTACATAATTGAGTGCCAGATCGTGCGCTGAGGGGTAAACTGAGACAAAGTTCATGTGCCAACAAAGATCGCTGGCGCTCATCATTGTTAGCTCGAATACTGCAGAACCGAGGAAACTCCATGAGGGATTGAGCCGTGAGCTCCTGCTGAGCGGGGATGAAAAGCACACTACCAGACGTCCCAAACAAATCAGGCGAGGGGATCCAGTCATTGTCGCACGCCTGAGGAAGCTCCGCCAAGGAGGTGTACGCCGAGATTGCCTGCTCCATCAAGTGCCTGTGAGTGTCCAAGAAGGCAGCCAGCATGGGGACAACATCCCCAGCGTCCGCTTGCTGCGGTTGGTGGATTCGAAGTTCAGTGCCAGAATTGATCCGGTGGACTCCGGGAAGAGTGGCGGTGTAGGTAAAATCCAATGCTGGAAGATGGCAATGTCTCCCGCCCATTTGAGAAACTTGGCAGTCGCAGACCAGAATGCGGTGTAGGCCACAACCTCCTGCCGGGGTGAACCCATCTCCTCCAGCACAAAAGGCAACTGACGTTTGAAGTAGGCGAACTGAAGGTCAGACGGAGGGGTGTCAGGAGCAGGTTGCAGGTCGGATGAACCCTCCTGTGCCTGGTGCTGTGGCCACTGAAACACCTTCGTAAGAAGACGGAAACTCGCGACGTCAAAGCACTTGCACTGGGCAGCTGTCAAGGCCGGGGAGATTCCACGTAAGAAGCATTGGAGGGTGGAATTTCACCTTTGCAGCGATAAACTCTTGCTGAAAGGACTTACCTCCAAGGATGATCTCCTGGCCTTGCAAGGCAAACTGCTGCAAGCCCTGGTACCTACTGCAAATATGCTCTTGGATGGCCCGTTACTCGCTAGATTGATGTTCGAATCTCCAATCCTAGCTCTTGTTTCAACGTATCAACCAGCGATGCAGTGGCTTGTGTGGCAACAGAGAGCTTTCCAAAAACGGCCATGTTATCCGCATAGGCCGGGAAGACACAGTCGGGAAAGGTCTCTGCGATTTTGACCAGGGAGGGGAAGGTGGTGTGCGCAAAGAGAGCCATCGCCAAGGGGCCCCCCTGGGAAACCCAGAAGTGGCCGAAAAAGACCGAGTCTCTCGCTGATGTTTCAGAAATAACTTGCCTGCATTGCCATAATATTGATAAACATACGGGAGGACTCCTTGCGAAAAATTCTCACAACGATGCTCAGGAGCAAGGAGGATCTGAACTCGCTGAAGGCGTTTCTTCGCCCTGGTCTGGTCTGAGACTACTACTACTACAGTTGTTCCCTTCATGTGCCGGCCCTCACCACCAGCAGGCTACACTGAGAGGATGGTTTCAGACTATTGCAAAGACAGTGTTGATCCTTACCTGGCAAATCGAATTGGAAATTTCGAGCAAAGGGGCGGGGCATAAGGAGGTCAGCAGCGTCAAGGAGATTTCACTATGTGTTTTCAAAGCTGTGATGCTCAAACTGGCCGTGCTCCGATACCATAGGTGAGATGATGTGCGAGGCATGATGCCAGTGCAATCGAGGAGCGGTGAGTTGCTGCATTGACTTGCTGGTTGTTTGATTCACTGGATTCAGTCCAAGACAAGCCAAGAATTGAATGCAGCCAGTTGTCTGTTGGTGGTATGCCAAGCAAGACAGAAAGCCCTTGGCATCACGCTATGGGTTCCCTCCACTAGTGGCAATGGTTGAACGTGCAGACGCAGAGCAGATACAGGGAGCGGAGGACCGAGGGAAATCCTGCAGCAGCTATCACTACAATTTGATGTGATAGTGTTCAAATGTACTAGTAGAGACATACACAATTAGACTGGGAGAAAACATAAATCATGCAAAATAAGCACTACATTGATAACTCACCGTTCTCTCTGTCCTCAGCGGCATGGTTCCTCCATAACATCATCTTCATCCGATAAGCTTTCGTTCAACGTTGCAGCCATGACTCAGCCGTTCAGCCTCGTGTTGCTCTCCCAGGTATCCCTGTGCTCGACCTGGCAGCACCCACAACAAGCCTCGCACACTCATCAGTGATGATAGCAGGCAAGCAGACATCAGACTCTGTCTCGCAGCCATCGGTGCTGTCGCCCTTGCGAGTATCACAGTCAAGGCAGGTCACATCGACTGGTGTGTGCTTGTGTGATAACGATTGCTCGAGTCAAGCATCTCATCGTCTTCAAGGCTTCGTAAGCCATCTTCACATCACGCTCGCACGTACAAGAGAGACATGTAGGTAATAGAATAGAAAGACGTTTATTAGTCTCTCGTTCCCAGTGTGAGTGGGGAGGTTGGCATCAACCGTCTGCATCCGATGTTTATGTTTATCCGGAGCACTCAGCGTTGTGCGTGCCAGGGCAGAGCTTGATCCCGTCGCTTCCACTGTAAGCAGTGTCCTTGACACCAAAGTTGCCGAAGATGGTGTGATCGGTGCTGTAATCGTCACCTCCGCCAAAGTTGTCACCATAGTTCCACTTGGCTCCCTTGTTGCCGCTGACCCTCTTCTGGTTGCTGATGGTAGTAGTGGGCCACTCGGAAGTGAACTTTGGCTCATGGGTGCCACTGACAACTTCGGAGAACTGGAGGTCAAATGTTAGAGGCAAAGCCATGCTTCGCATCCAAAAGATATTCATGCATGCATCGTTATCGTCGTCATCGTCGTCATCCTCATCCTCATCGTCGTCATCATCGTCATCGTCATCGTCATCGTCATCGTCATCGTCATCGTCATCGTCATCGTCATCCTCATCCTCATCCTCATCCTTGTCGTCGTCGTCGTCGTTGTCATCATCCTCATCATATATCCATCATCATGATAATCATCATATCTCTATCATTATCATAAGCAGCAGCAATCATCAAGACCTTGCATCATCGCATCAGGCGGGCGTTTGTCACCATCATTGCGCACATTCTCTTCATTTTTCATCTCACCATGTTGTCGGCAGGGATTCCTCAACCTCGCAGAACGCCGCGTACTTATACTACCCTTCCCTACCCCACCCCTATCACCCCACTACCGCAGTTCCGAAACTTGCTGACTTATAATGTTTTTGTTGCAGACCCCCCACGTCTCCTGCTGGTGACTACACCAAGTACCCCTCCCAAACTCCCCCTTCCGAAGTTCTTTGGTCATTGGTGCATTTCACTACCCTACCCCCTGCAGCCGTATCCTTGCTGCGGACCTACTTTCAGGGGGGTGTATGCCTGGTCACTTGCGTGGTTGGAGTTTTACTCAAAGTTAAGTTAAACTCTCACAAGCAACGGAAAAAAAGACTTCGTACAAATGTTTAGTCAACGCTCCAACCGTGTAATCTATTTCGGGCAGCACCAACATCTCATAAGTGAATTTATTACAGACTTTTAACTTTGGGCCGCATTGTCAGTCAAGTCAGTCAGCATTCTTCGGCGTACTAAGGAGTTTGAGTCAAAAGACCAGCCCAGGCTACACGTCACGGCCGGGCCGCGCCCGGCCCGTGAAGCCTGCAGTGCCGTCCGACGACCGTACCGGACCGGGGCCGCCGCACTAGCGTGGCAGTCCGATACGTCAGTGACCGAGCGTGTCTGAGTTTGTCCGACCGCCGACCCGGCGTCTAGTACCGTACCGTACGGTCACGGGGCACGGTCGGCCGGCGCGCCCAGGGTCACTGTGATGGAACGTATGCCAGCCGTGCCAGTCAGATAGCGCCGAGTTAACAAAAACTCTCCTGTAAACCAAGACGACTTACGTGTTTCAAGGCGGCATGTAGCGTGTGGGACGAAGAGGGGGCTTTCCTAGCCGTCTTACTAAGGTCCCCTACAACTAAGGTCGATGTGATATCTGCGTGACTTTGGACTAGTACAAGTCTAACAAACTTGTATTCCGTCACACTGGCCCCCGGCACGCCGGGTCACCAGTTGAGTACGGTCCGACAGCCCACCGGCGTCACCTGACAGTGTGCACTGGGTGGTCCGGGACTCCGAGGCTCCGGGAGGCCTACTAGTCATCCCAATGACAAACTACAGTGACGCCCCCTCGGACCGTACTCACTTTGAGTAAAGCCACTGTGTCAAGTTCCGTTCCGATCATCGAGTCATGGCATGTGACTGTACGGTACCGACTCTCAGAGTCCAAACGGACTTGAAACATGATTCAATGATTGCTTGTCCTCAAGCCCGGTTACACTGAGCCTTCAAGTCAGTGCGGCCGGCCCGGCCCGGGCCCGAGGGCCGCCCCGGGCCGCCACACTGAAGGCTCAGGGGCCGGTCACCATCCTCGTTTGCCGTGCTGGAAGCCGCTGGACTGGTAGTGAAGCTTGGAGTCCTCCGAGACTTGACCCTCCCGCTTCTTGCGCACACGATTGATGAGATCCTCCAGCTGAGAAAGTAACAGGTCAGCAGCGGAGAGGAACTTGGGAGCCTCGAAGGCGAAGAACGAAGGGTGGCAAAGACGCAGGTACGTAACGAGAGAGGGGAGCGGCTAACGAGGAGGACCTGTTCTCTTGAGCTTCCAAACGCGGCTCGTTTCTTGGGGTCAACGAGGACCTTGAGGCACATCTCTAGGGGAGTGCGAGACCAGGCGAACGTGTGCTTCTTCTCCATGACTTTGAGGCAGGTGAGGAGAGCGACGCCAGTTTGCTTGTGGTGGAGGAGCAGAGCAAGGAAGAGAAGGAGAAGCGCGAGGAAGAGAAGGAGAAGCGCGAGGAAGAGAAAGAGAAGCGCGAGGAAGCGGAGTAGTCCGCAAGAAAGGGAGCGAGGAAAAGAAGGAGATACAGGAGAAAAGGAAGATGAAAGCAGAGGAAAGGAAGGGAGAGTAGCGGAGGACGAGGAGGGGTGGGACGATGAGAAGAGAAAACAAGGAAGTGAACCAGATGAGGGGTTGAGAGTAGCGTAGGGAGGAGGAGAGGGAGGGTAAGAGGAAGCAAGACGGGGAAGCGTCAGGAGCAAGCACAACACAAGCATTTCCTCACATCTCGGATGTAATCAGATGCAATCGCTTGATCGTTCAATCCCTCCAAGTGAACGAGCAACTGAAACAGCGCACGTCAATATCCGTTCTGCTGCTGCTGCTGCTGCTGCTGCTGCTGCTATCCCTACGCCACCTCAATCACTACCACCAACTTTTGTATCTCTATTTCCTCTGCCACCTCCGTCATCATCTTTATCTTCTCTGTGCATCGTCTTCCTTGCGTCTACGTCCTCCTTCCATCGCTGCCACTTCCCTCCCGCCTCCCTGCTCGCACCCTCTCCTTCCCATTCCTCCCTCACCTCCTTCGCCGCATTCGCGTACGCGAACGAGTCGTCAGTGCGCAGCTTGTGGGAGAGGTGAGAGAGGATGCTCCAGACTTTGATCAAGGCCTCAAAGTCGCCAGTGACCGTCTTGAAAATGTCCGACTGACCCGACATGAGCTCACGGACGCGCAACTCAGCACTGACTGACCTTGTTAGTGACGCTGTCGATGATCTCTTTGATCAAAGATCTTGTGCTGTCTGCGAATGCTCGCTCCCCTGAACGCGATCTCAGAGTATCCTCCTCCTCCCTCTCCCCATCCCTTGCCCCTCCTCCTCTGAAGTGTCTTTCTCTTTCACCTTACCGATGTCCCTCCTCCTCCTCCTCCTCCTCCTCCTCCTCCTCCTCCTCCTCCTCCCAGTCCTCTTCCTTCTCTTCACACCTGTTCCGATAGCTTCTCTGACTGCCTCAAGAGCTTTGCTCGCATTCTCCTGTCTGAGATCCGAGCTGATCATCTGCTTTACCGGTCAGGGGCTGCCAGGGGGAAGAAGCGTCTACCTTGACGAGAAGAGGAGCGGACTTGTCGAACTTCTTGTCGCTCGAAAGATGCGACCTGACCTTGTCGAACGCTGATGACACCAATCATGTCCTCCTCTTTCACTTCCTCCCCCAATTCTCCTCGTCAGCCTCCCCTCATCCTCTACCTCCTTTACACTTGTTCTACCTCCTTTGAATTCCCTCGTCTCCCTCCTACTCTCCCCTCCTCTACCCTGACGCGCGTCCCCTTTTCTGCCCTGTTCCCTCCTATACTGTCTCCCACCCCTTCCCTCTTCCTCTTCTCTCTCCCTTTCCTCCTTCACCTAGGATCGACTTCTCAACTTGTTCTCGTTGTAACTTCTCTTCCTCCTCCTGCAGGGATGTGGGTGTCGCTCCGATCACTCTGGCCTGTCCGTTTCCTCTGTCTCAATCGTAACGGCCAAACGTTTCAACGTTACCTCCCACGAGCAGTCGATGGTCAGACTTCCCGTCTCTTGCTCTCTCCTTGCAAGTTCAAAATGGACATTCTGCAGTAAGACGAGTCGATCAGGTTGCAATTGCCGCAGGCTCTAACAATCATTATCATTATGCGCATCATCATCATCATCATCATCATCATCATCATCATCATCATCATCATCATCATCATCATCATCATCATCATCATCATCACCACCACCACCACCACCACCACCACCATTATCATCATCATCCCGAATCAATAAGTTCGATCTTCACAACCTTCAACATCCCACCACCACCACCACCACCTCCTCCTCCTCCTCTTCTCCTCCTTCTCTTACCGACTCTGTTTCAATCGGAAGAGAAAACCTGAGCAACTTCACGACGTCCCTCCACCACGGGCATCGCATCATCGTCTCCTTGCTCCTCACCTCCTCCTCTTTCGTCTCCCCATAGTCACCGACCCACAACTGCATAGCAAGTGAGCATGGTGGGAGGTCAAGAATTCCCTACCTCAACCAGCTGCTGCCTGTCAGCCAGAGCGAGCACGACGGAGCAGGAGGAGAAGGCAAGGGAGAGAGGGTTCTTGGAGCTTGCAAGGACGAGGAGGCAGAGAGACGAGCTGTCGTCTTCCATCGTCTCCATGCTCAGTCGTGCGAGCACGCGCACCTTGCTGTCCTTCACTGAGTTGTCGGTTGCCTGCTGGAGCTCGGACAGTATCGCGTCTCTTCCTTCCACGATCACTTCCTGGTCGGACATGGAAGAGGCTCGCGCGGTCTCGATCATGCAACCTGCTCCTTCCTCCTTCACGTTCCCTTGCGCCATCCCTCGGAAGATCTGCGACAATGCTTTGCAAGCTGTGCTCTCCCGTCGAACCTCTTTAGTCTTGTCCGAAGACCCTTCTCTCTCCTGTTCTGCCCCTCCTCCTCCTCCATCGTCCTGCCCCTTGGCCCTCTTGCTCTCTCTGTCCTCCTCTTCCTCTCCCTTCCTCTTCCTCTCATCGTGATTGATCCCGTTCAAGGCTCTCTCTCCCCCTTGCTCGCTTCCAGCCCCGCTCTCTCCTTCTCTTCGCTCCTCCTCCTCTCCTCTCCTCTCCTCCTCCCTCCCTCCCCCTCCTGCCTCATCTCTCCCTTCCTCTCCCGGGGGCCCTGGTTTCCCTGCCATTCCCGATGATCGAGTCACTACCGGTGGTGTGACCTGGAAAAAGAGGGGTGGTGATAGTATCGATGCGATTTGCCATGCAATGACGGCAAAGGGGGAGACTGGGTATGAGGCGAAGTGGAGGGGAGTGGAGAAGCAGGGAGGAGGAGAGGAGGAGCAGGAGGACAGAAGAGGAAGAAGCGAGTGAGCATGGGTTGGTGTTGTTTCTCTATTCTTTCTTCACTAGGTAGAGCACTCGATCTGCAGCTCGCTGGACGATCACAATGTCCTGCGGCTTCAAGTCACCTCCTCTCTCCTCCTCCCTGCTTCCTCCTCTCATCCTCCTCCTCGCTCCTCCCACCCCCTTTCACTTCCCCCTCCACGTCCTCTTCCCCCCCCCCCCCCCCGT